TTCAACCGCCGTACCCAAATAATCGCTGTCCTGTCTTCCTTTGTTACCTCCTTGGAACCAGTGCCCAAAGCAATCTCAAGGCGATAGCGGCTGCAATCTCCATGATCTATCTTTAACACAGACTTACAATCAACGTACCGTGCACTCTTTGAAAAAGACCTGAGTGAGCGAGTTGAGTTTTACGCCGCTTTTAGCAATATTCCAGCAATATCACGGCTGGGGACACTCGAAATGGGCTTCACACATTGTACCCATGTGGGGAATCGAATCTGGGTCTTCGGCGTGACGAGCGAACGCATTAACCACTCGGCTACCCCACCGCCCCCAACGGGCCTCGAAGAAACATGATCATAGGGCTGTGATTGTCGCAAGCGGATTATAAACTAACGTGAAGGGCGTTACGATAGTCGTGGCGTTACGTCCAGACGTGTAGCAAGCCAATTTTTTCGTGTAAGCCCGATAGGTTGCAAAGCTTCATATTTAGATAGTATTCAGGACTTTTCCAACCTTATTAGCAACAATCATGTGTAAGCCCGGGCTTTTTTGTAATGGTAGCTACGCCCCTGACGTCAGCTTCGTGGAACGGACCCCTGGGGTCAAATTACACGGAATATGGGCCATGGAGTGGACCTTCTTTTTATTTGCTGCAAGGTTCATACTTCTTCTCACTGGTTATCAGCCCATATCAGAAGGAAGTGAGGAAACGGTATGTCCCGTTTGTTTGTTTTTGTTATCAGATGACGAGGATCCCGTTTTCCTTTTCTTTCATCAAGTAAATTAAGCATGATGGCAAGTACGCTGATATTCTCTGAAACCAATTTTCACAACAAAAACATCAGGCTTCCTTCTCGAAAATAATGAAAAAGCATTATAAGGCCATCATATATTTTTGATATCAACATTCTTTAATATTTCTTCGCTATTTACATATGTTCATATTTACAAAGTAAACAACAGCCAGTAACTATCATACACAGATTTAACAAAACGTATTACATGATATATGAGAAAAAATAATGACGAAAGCAAGACTGATATAGCATTAGCACATGGTCAAGGCGCTGGCACCTCCACGAATCACCTTAGTTCCAGTGGCACAAGTGAAATTATTTTGGAATGTGAAATTGGACGGATAATCTATTACCACCAAATGTGTTTTACCACTATCGTAAAGAAGTAAAATTGAAGCAGCACTTGAAAGGAAGTATCGTTTTGGAAATTGTTTTTACTTGTTTACAGTGTTCACAGGTAAACATGTTTTGAAGACATGGTACTACAGGAGTCTGCCAATCACTGACAGGCAGTGACACCCAAATAATCGGAACAGTGCTCTTCCAGCAAAATAGTCTGGATAAATAAAATTATGCAAAATTTTAAATAATGTCCTTTAATATTATCCTTAGGTAAATTCTAAACAGAGAGCAAATTAAAGGTGGGTTTTCAGGATTAACATGTACATCTATCTTTATGTTTATCCAGGCTATATTGCTGACATAATGCTGATGCAATGTTAAATCTAACTCACTCAATGTTTAATAGTAACAAGACTCCTCCATCATGGTGGCACCGATTCCTGCAGTTGAGGCATGGAAATGAGCCGTCGTTGTCTTAAAGGGGGTGTCTCTCATCAGGTAGCAGGCATGCCTTGAACTAAAGGGATCTGTTGATTCAGAAGTTAAGTTTAACTAACCCATCAAACCAAGCCTCTCTTTACATCATGACCTTTAATGCTGATGATTCTGATGAAATCTACTTCTATATTCTGAGAAAGTCTGAATGTCTTAGGTAACCGGACAAAATAGAATAACTTTCACAAATAAAAATATGTAAACTTTGAACATAGACAACAGAAAAAGAAAAAGAAACTAAACCTAAACCTTAAATGTACAAATCATTAGTAAATATGCTGATTCATCAAAATTTCTGCTTAGGGAGAACTTAAAGTCACACATTAAAACTCTACAATGCAAAATAACTTGAAAAAAAGAGACAAAAATCACTACATTATTACAATTTACTTACAGTTGCATTAAGTTGCTAATTCACTTAATCTATATGCAATGTTTCTTTTTCAAATGGCACACATTAACCATTACTTAGCCTGCATTTGATTCAGAGAGCCTGCAATCTACACCAAATCAAGAAATATATCCTCTAGTACTCACTGGGATATTTGTCTTGACAATTGTTCCTTATGTAAGTAAATATTTTAATACATTAGGCAGAGCTACAGATAACTTTTTGGGTCATTGAGTTATGTACTCGCTTGTGTTCATCTCAATTGGGTATCCTAATTTTCCTTTGAGTAACCAAATAAATTGTACCACCTCACTCAAACTTAATTGGGTATTTTGCCATTTTCCATAAATTGTAAAAATATGATAAAGTTTTAATGTTGGTTTATGTGTTTGTTATCTATATTTGAACTGTAATATGAGAAACAGCAAGAAAGACTGCAAGTTGCCAAGGTAATGTGTTGAAATAGAATCTCTCAAGATACCCAAGTTATTTTATCTATCCACCAGTATGCAAGCTAATATTTGACACTTTTATGTGTACGCATGAAAGATCAATTTTTTTAGCATTTACAAAAATTCAAGCGTACTTGTACGCAATAGACTTGTCACATAATACTTAAGACTTGAATGGGTTTTCACATAAATATTTGCATAATTTATGCAGATACGCAGCTTATCTGTACCTCTGACATTAGGCATGTTTAACAGTTACTGCAGAAATCATTAAAATTAGTTTGGAGCCAGGATGAGGTTTGCTGCTGTACTCATTGATAATATTGACCCCCAATAGTTATTGTTTGTTTCTTGTTTAACACAATACCCAGCAATATTCCACCTATTGGACCATGGCCTATATTTAATTATATCGAATGATTGACATTGTGAGAATCAAATTATGCAATTGGAACACAATGTTTAACTCATGAAGTATGCAAACCTGACCTATATTCTTACAAGGAAACCTCACAAGTAAATAATTACTAAAACATTAGAGTTTTGACATGGACCTATTGACATTCATGTTTAATTTACAACACTGCCTAAGAATATAATACTTACAATAACATAGCTGCAGGATACAGAGACTATAACACAAATTTATGATCCAGCATATTCAGACACAGAACTGTCCCATGGAAATAGCAGTATAAATTATTTGCATCCATTCTCAATTAACATGTATATATACCATTAAAAAAAAGTAGGGGATATTCATTTTGCGAGCATACCACTAGCCAATGCATATGAGAAAAGTATATATATATCCTTACAGATGAAACATTTCCAAAGGAATGGAATAAATTGTCACATTTTCCTTAATTTCTCTTCATCATCTGTTTCCTCCTTGGCTTCATCATTTGCATTTTATCAATCTTGTAAATTCAACATTCCCTACTTTTTTTGAATGGTATATGATGCAATATGGCGCATAAAGCTGAATGTTGAAGTGTGACATTCAATAAATTAAAGATGAGATAATGGAGGATGATCCTGTTCCACAGATCCTCTGAACACAATGGAGGACGTGAGAATTTACAGAATTAAATAAAGACAGAATTCTTATTAACAATATTCTCATCAAGAGACTTGCAGCTAATGTCTTGGGCTGTTCGCAAAGCAATATTTGTGCTATGTAAGTCACATACAAATTTTATCCAATAATCAATGTTGCTCAAGCCCAGTAAGGACTGGTAGGCACCTGATCAAGAGCCACAACAACATTGGTCACACAACATCACACATCAAACTTCCATTCCACCAACAAATTCAACACTACACCTAACATGCCTAATTAACACAGAAACGAATCAATCTGTTGTACAATTAATCCTATATATTCCTTCAAATGGCTTCCAAGTGCAATCAGTGATTCCGATTTCAAGTTAAGCTTACTTACAGTTAGGGGGGACTTAGCTTTAGACTACTGGAAGGTCCCCATTCTTCTACGCAATTTTAGTGCCAAGATGACCACTAACCATGCCCTAAAACTAACACTTGACTGAGGGAACTCTTGTGTAGTTCTGTGGAAAGGGTGATGTTCCTGAAAGCAATCTAAGGGTTATCATGATCGTAACTGCTTTAGGCTTACGATAGTTGTAGTGCGCAATATGCTTTGTGGAACGGGACCATGTGCTAGTCATTTACCTGCTGCCTGGTCAGACATTATCACAATCCGACCTTCTCATTACTAAAGCAAAGGGTAGATCTGGCAAACTGTGGCTGCTGGCATGAGCAATGAGTCAGGTTGAGAGTACATCAGCGTGAATGTAGAGAGGACGACAGTCAGATCTACACCTGTTCTCAGTGGGGACATTATACCCCAGAGACCATGCCACCTGTTCCCAGGTTTGACATTGTACCCCAGACACTGGGCCACCTGTTCCCAGGTTTGACATTGTACCCCAGACAATAGGCCAGCTGTTCCCAGGTTTGACATGGTACTCGAGACAATGGGTCAGCTGTTCCCAGGTTTGACATTGTACCCCAGACAATAGGCCAGCTGTTTCCAGGTTTGACATGGTACTCGAGACAATGGGTCAGCTGTTACCAGGTTTGACATTGTACCCCAGACAATGGGACACTTGTTACCAGGTTTGACATGGTACCCCAGACACTGGGCCAGCTGTTCCCAGGTTTGACATTGTACCCCAGACAATGGGCCAGCTGTTCCCAGGTTTGACATGGTACTCGAGACACAGGGTCACCTGTTCCCAGGTTTGACATTGAATCCCAGACACTGGGCCACCTGTTCCCAGGTTTGACATGGTACCCCAGACACTGGGCCACCTGTTCCCAGGTTTGACATGGTACTCGAGACACTGGACCACCTGTTTCCAGGTTTGACATCATACCCCAGATAATGGGCCACCTGTACCCAGGTTTGACATGGTACCCAAGACAATGAGCCACCTGTTCCCAAGTTAGACATCTTACACCAGACACTGGGACACCCGTTCCCAGGTTTGACATTGTACCCCAATTAATGGGCCACTTGTTCCCAGGTTTGACATAGTACTCCAGACACTGGGCCACCTGTTCCCAGGTTTGACATCATACTCCAGACACTGGGACACCTGTTCCCAGGTTTGACATAGTACTCCAGACACTGGGACACCTGTTCCCAGGTTTGACATCGTACCCAAGATAATGGGCCACCTGTTCCCAGGTTTGACATCATACACCAGATACTGGGTCACCTGTTCCCAGGTTTGACATCGTACCCCAGATACTGGGTCACCTGTTCCCAGGTTTGACATCATACACCAGACACTGGACCACCTGTTCCCAGTGGGGACATTGTGCATCAGACATTGTACACCACCTGTTATATGGGTGGACATCTCAAACCAGAGAAAGGGGCACCTGCTCCTACAGGGTAGAAATTATACCAGAAAAAGTGCCACACGTTCCCAGTGTGAACATGTTATATCAGACTAAGGGGCACCTGCTCCCAGGGTTGCCATTCAAACCAGCCAACCGGAAGCCTGTTCCAAGAGCGAAATCCTGCTCATGACCACCTGTTCCCAAGTGGTCACCCTAGACAAAGCACTATCATACAACAGCACTACCATACAGTTCAGGGATCAGTTATGACCTCAACATCATAATATCCTGATTTACTATGTTTGACGACATCAACAGATGAATGACGATGATGATTGAGATATTCTTAAACATTCTACTTATGATGCAAAATAATCTCATTTTGTGCAGAAGAATTCATTCTTGGCTAAACCACGAACATCACAAATAAGGAAATTCTCCTTCTTTCCCGATTTTCCGTTTTCGCGAACAGAAGAGGTATCCATCTTGTCACTTCCCTGAGTAGAATCACTCTGACTTATCTCCCTTACGGCACCAATGTTGTTCAAATCGCCTGTGGCTTCACTTGAGGAGACTGAGTTTGGTGCCTTTGATTCCATGGGAACGGACTCAACACTTGCGTCATCAAAATTCAACTCACTCGGCAGAAGCAAACCAAACATGGCGTCTTTGTCAGGGGATTTCTCCCGTTCGGGGGTTTCAACACACACTTCATCTGCCAAACATTTCACAGGCTGATTTTCTTCTGTATTCACTATTTAGAGACAGGCGGATTCACTACTTCGGGAAATTTGTTAATCTGTTTAGACTTATCAATGATGGGCAACCTTGGTTCCTCCTTGGGGCCACCGTTGTCATCACACATTTCATCTGTGACTACACCGTCATCACGGTCAAAGCTAAGTCTTACTGCGTTTTCAATAAATGATTCCACTTGCAGGATGGCTTCCTCAGAATTTGATCGCTGCAGCGTCCCGCGTCCTGACGTCCCAGAACCCTTTTCCCTGAGTTTAATATCACCCTTTCCCTTTCGAACTGGAGAATTTTGCATAGATGGAGTTTTCCCTGAATTTTCAACACACTCTTCATCCACAGTTACTTTCTGTTCAATCTCAATTGTCTTCCCAACCTTTTCAAATTTCGACTTCACATCCGTTATATCGTTAACATTCTCAGGTAAATTGTCTTCAGTTGTTTCCCTTTCCTCAAAATTCTCTTTCACTGATTCTTCATCTTCGTCTTTTTCAATCTCGATAACAAACTTTTCAGTTTCGGAACAGTGACTTGGGTTGTTAGGATCAACCTTTATCCCAGGAGATGCTCTTAATTTTTGTCCAATGGAATTGTTCTCTCTCACTTCACAAGTCCTGGCCTCAGTACTCTGACTAATTGATGGCGATGCGATCGAGACAGAAGTAGCAGACGTTGACGTTGCTGACGTATCTTTCCCCGACTCCACTTCTTCCTCATCCATTGACTTCTGCTTGCCATACTGGATTATCTTCCTCAACAGATGCCTCTTGGAATGCCGCTTCAGTTCTTGTTGCTTAACCCCATCAAGATGAGATCCAATGACTTTAGCTGGTACCCCATTCTTCAACAGTCCATCTGAATGAAGAACACATCCTTTATTACTACAGCTAAAATGGATAGAATTATTATAGAAATGCCTGTATGATTTTCATGAAGGAATAAACACAATATCATTGTTCTGCAAGGTTCACTTCAAGGGTCCAGGGCCCTGTTTCACAAAGCTCTCGTAACAGTATAGGAGGTACGAATGCTAAGAGAAAAGTTACGAGATGAAGCAAGTGTTGAGTCTGTTCCCATGGAATCAAAGGCACTCAGTGTCCTCAAGTGAAGCCACAGGCGATTTCCTTGTAGCATACGTACCTCCTATGTTACAGTATAGGAGGTATGAATGCTACAAGAAAAGTTACGAGATCTTAGGCTTACGAGAGCTTTGTGAAACAGTGCCCAGGGGTCCAAGTTTACAAGGGTGGTGGGGCAGAATATTGGACAAAGTATTTGCTCATCACAACAAAGACCTGGCTTCAATTCCTCGCATGGGTACAATGTATGAAACATATATCTGCTGTCCCCTGCCATGATATTGCTGAAAGATTGCTAAAAGCGGAGTAAAACCATACTCACTCACTTGAGGACTATGGATGTTTTAACAAGGATTATGGCAACAAAGGTCAACCATATTTCAAGTAGAAGTATATCGATGCTGTCTATAATTGATATTTTTACTTTCAGCACAGTGATGCTGTCAATATATTGATTTGAAGCACGGTGACGCTGTCAATATTTTAACAGGAAGCATGGTGACGCTCTCAATATTTTAACTGGAAACATGGTGATGTTGTCAACTGTTGACATTTTAAGAAGAATCATTGCTCTTTAATGGGGAATGAATGCACCCACTGATACACATGCATACTTTAAAGCAGTTCAGGGCACTTATCAACATCTTCCAGTAGACATCAACTGGATAGCTGTACTGCTATGAAACAGGGATCCTAAATGTACAAGTTTTCATAACTACTCACCAACAGCGACACGGAGTCGCCTCTTCTGTGCCCGGCGGTAGAACTTCTCCATCTTCAGGTCTTCAATAAGCTGGGCGGAGCGCTGTTTCTCACTTTCGATGGTCATCAGTGCCTAGAAGAGTAGTCATTGGTCAGATTTCAACATCGACATTATCACATGTTTAGAAAAGTTACTTTGTTTCACTTGGCAATGATCCAGAGATATATGAGTGTGTGAATGTTAACTAACAGAAATGCAGAACAGAGAGAGAGAGAGACACCCACAATAGGTGGATCCAGAATCAACCACCTTGGAGAGAGCCACAAACATTAACTTCAATGTGGTCTTTAGCCATTTTCAAAAGGGGGTTCGAACCCCCTGAACCTCCCCTCTGGATCCCCCACTGCACACACATGAAGCCAATGAGTTAACATGAGTTAATTACAGCTATGGAGGGGCAAGGAAAAGCCCCAAAACATTGCATATACAATAAAGAAAAAGTTGACATCGATAATATTTTGTCCGATACTTGAATACCAACTTCTATATGCCTCTCAAGAACCTCAACACCAATTATTCTTTGCATCTCTTTCCTAATCCTGACATAATACACCATAGTTCTGGTTGCCATGGCTACTTACAGCATCCAGCACCTTCTGTCTGGAGAGGGTCACAGTGGGGTTTTCCTCCCCATCGGAGATGCTGTTGTACAGATACATAAACATACACAGGATGTCCTGTCTCCGTGCTCGTTCCCTGCAACAGCAAACAGTGTCACAGCCTCCTTGTGGGAATTTAACAGTTTATAATAATTTAAAATATAACATATGTAATTGGTCATTAATAACGGGAAATAGAATCTTTTGACCACCTGACCAACTCCCGTACTTCAATTGAATGGATGTTTTACTTCAGTACTTCAAATGAATGGCATCTCACTGTGTCAACACACAAAATGGTGCCATGTAATGTTATTCTACGTGGCCAAGCATCGTATAAAAATACAATGTAAGAAAAGCATGTTTTTACTGCAATAGGGTACTGTGTATGCGATGTTAATGTGGATCACTTTGTAGATGGGATATATAAAGTAGCACCAATTTTAAAGGAAAGCTCAGGGTCATCGCTTTACAGACATTGATATACGGTACACAGGAGGAATTTATTCACCACTTTACTTACTTGTAGGTCTTCCTCTCTCGGACTTCTCCTCTGGTATCTTCCTCATCTTCCTACAACACCACCAAAGTAGAAACTTATTTCAATGTTGCTGATGCAGGACTTAACTGGTTGAAAGTGAGAATGAGTTGTTTACGATAATGAATGACTGAATGAGGCTTGCCAGATGATTATGGTACAAGATAAAGTTGAGGATCAAGTGGTATTTATTGGGTAAATTTATTGTTATGTGATTAGTATAAGGTAAGGTTAGTGCTAAGCATCATTATATGGGTAAAGTTAGTGTTCGGTTGTATATACTAGGTAAATTAGGTTTAGGAGGTAAATATGGTTAAGGTCTAAAGATAGGTAGGGTAAAAATAGGGTTAATCGGTATATATTGGTTAGCATTATGTGGAACACACTGGGTAAATAGTGTTAGGCAGTAAATACTAGGTAAATATGGTGTTATGTGGTAAATAATGCATATAGTTATGATTAGTTGGTAAATATTGGTAAAATTAGGGTTAGTTGGTAAATAACCAGGAAAGTTAGGGTTAGGTGGTAAATATTTGGATAACTTGGGTGATACATTTGGTGACTGGGTGAAATCACACAAAGTTTGGAAGTACAAATTACCTGTCTTAGGGTGAGGGTTAGGTTTAGGGTAAGGTTCAGGGTTACTGGTGAAACGGTATACTGCAGTATTAGTAGAACCATGGTATTTTGCATTCAAATTGGTATACTGTAATGCAATCCAAAAATTCGGTATTTTCGGCCTTCGTACCGACATTTGACAAACTTTTTCTAAAATGTCTAGAAATCGAATCATTTTGTCAAAATCTATGCATTTCTTTGCTAGACGGACGGTGTTTCCCTGGAAGTAAGAGCGTACCGTTTCATCCCTAGTTAGGGTGAGAATTAATTTTAGAATGGAAGATTTAGTGTGAACAAATGAATGGAGCCCTCTTCTCCTGGGGATGTCATGTTACATGTATTAGTTGTTTGACAATACATTCAGCAATATTTCAGCTATTTGACCGTGACCTGTATATAATCATGTCAGCCAATAGTTCATCCTAAAGATTCCATATGGAGGTTCACTGTCAATGTACCTTGAGTCGTCTATACAGGGTCTCTCTTGCATCCTCCCGGGGACGGGGGTCTGGTCCCCCCAACACGTCTATCTCCTCCTGGCAATACAGTAGCAGTCACTAATGGGGGCATTTTATTTCATACAACCTTTGCTGAACCACTTTTGTCTTCTATCCCAAACTTGTCTGTCAGAGATTTTCTTTGTTTTGTGAGTGAGTGAGTTGGGTTTTATGCCGCTTTAAGCAATATTCCAGCAACATCACCACTGGGGACACCAGAAATGGGCTTCACACATTGTACCCATGTGGTGAATCGAACCCAGGTCTTCGGTGTGACGAACAAACGCTTTAACCACTGGGCAACCCACCGCCCTTTTTTTCTGTTGTGAGTGAATGAGAGTTGTTGAGGGAGTGGTTGAGCGAATGAGTGAGTGAGTGACTGAATTGGGGTCAACACCACTTTGAACTGTATTGCAGTTATGTCACTGTAGAGAAAATTATGCATGGTTCAGAAGTTCACCACTTTGGTGTGTGTGTGCATGTGTGCATGTTTGTGCTAGTACCAGGTTTATGAGTTGCCACGGAGGTGCTGTAATGGACAATTTCAATGTATTGAGTAGAAATATCAATTACATCTCCATGTTCCATTACCACATCATTACTTGATCAAGACAGAAATTCCGTAGTAGCATGATGCTTCAGCTTGTGGCAGGAAGGGTCTTAGAATTCAAAAGTCTCCTGGAATATGAATGTGGAGTGACAGGCCTTGGAGTATAATCTGGGAAAATCACGAAATCGGCTGATCCTGGCCTAGCAAAGGGATGCAACTCAGTGCTGTTGATCATTACCAGATCACCTGTACAGAGTACATGAAGGGAGGTAACTGTTGACTGCCCCCTGCCATGTGTAACCAGCTGATTTTATGAGTACTTCCTTGTGTTATCTGGTCACGCTCGGATATTAAAACTGGGTTTTAAAAAAGGATGTGTAACTGTACTCTACTGTAAAACAGTATAAACCTATTCCATGCTGAGATGAAGAGTTGCATTGAAATGATTGATATGACTGACATGATTGGTTGGTTTAGATGGCACAAAGTTTATCACAGGTTTTTACCTTATGTTATGCAAATTACATTATACAAAATACTACAATCAGCGCACTTTACTTTCCCTTTCACACATATCAGCAGGAAGCAAATGTCAAGGGGAGATGAATGGAGTTTTCAATGCGTTCAAGTTAACGACACTCACACAGTATCATACATGTTTATCCCTACAATGAGTATGATGAGCGCAAGGTAATATCTTTCCATAAGCTGACCCGTGAAGGTCCGGGTTAGAATGAGCCTTCAGTAACCCCTGCTTGTCTTAAGAGGCGACTAACGGGATCTGGTGGTCATGCTCGCTGGCATGGTTGACACATGTCATCAGTTCCCAATTGCGCAGATCGATGCTCATGCTGTTGATCACTGGATTGTCTGGTCCAGACTCGATTATTTAAAGACCTCCACCATATAGCTGGAATATTGCTGAGTGTGGCTTAAAACTAAACTCACTCACTTTCCATAAGCCATAGATGGAGTGAGTGAATGAGTGAGTATTGCTTTTAGCAATATTCCAGCAATATCACAGCGGGGAACATAAGAAATGGGCTTCACACATTGTACCCATGTGGGAAATCAAACCCGGGGTCTTTGGTATGATGAGAGAACGCTTTAACCACTAGGCTACCCCATTGCCCATTACATGGATGGAGCTAACTACCTCCGGCTCACCAGGCAGATGCCCTATCCCCTAGCCCAGCAAAACCTTGTAAATGACGGATCTATTCTAATTGGGTTAGTCACAACCATATCTACAGTAGTTTAGGGCATGGTCAAGGCGAAATGATAAAGTGATAATGGTAACAGAAAGACCTTAGAATTTCAAAACATTTCATTAAACATAACTGTGGCAGTCTTCACGACTAGACCAGCTCACAATATAACCTACCTCTGATATGTTGATGGTGCCCTGGCCTTGGAGAGAGTGTCCAGAACTGCTACAGCCATCGAAGGACATCTGACTGTCATCATCCGAGATATCGATGACAGGAAGGTTCATCCTTTCTTTGAACTTCTGAATAGGTGTGAGTTTCATTGAACTCTCAATGTTTGCCAAGATCTGACCTGGGCTGCCTAGAGCATCTGATGAAGGTCGTCCATCAACAAGCTTAATTCTCTTACTTGCATCTGCAAATGCTGCAGAATCAGAGTCACTTCGTTGCCGTTTTATTGGCAAAAATCCTTGTTGCATTTTTTTCATTTTGTAAGCACCAGGGTTCGGGGTGGAAGTCTTAATGGTATCAGGTGAATCTAAGGACAATGACCTGGCTTGCCTCTGTGCCCCTTCAACAGCTCCACCTGAAGTTGATTGGCCAGGTTTTCTGGCTACCTTCTTCTGACTAGAATCTTTATCACCATCACCATGTTTCTTGTATGTTCCAGAAGCTGCTTCACAGTATTCCCCTTTGTTCTCCTTATCAGCTGTGTCCCGGAGAACATGGACCTGGTTCACAGGTTGTTGAGCAGTTCCAGGATCATCTTCATCAAGAGATGCGACTAGATGTGTTTCACTGCTGGGTTTCTTCTCTGTGTCTTTTCCAACTGGACATTTTCTCGAGGCCATAAGTTGACTTTTTGACCCTCCTTTACGAACCTTCCATCCTGAGGAACCATCTACCTCATCAAAGGATTCAATAGAATTGGACTGATCTGATTTCTGACCTTTTTTCTTCACCTCTCTACCTACGGATTCATCAGCATTTAGTCCATTTGCAGATGCTTGGTCAACATTCTTTTTCCTCCTCTTCTTCTTTGAAGGTTTGGGATCCTCCTCAATTATGGCCTTGGTCTTTTCTTGCGATTTGTTTTCAACCACTTCTTCAAGTCTTAATATTGTTCCATGGGGCCCTGGGATGTACTTTGTACCCAGAAGAGATTTTTGAATTTTGTTTCCTTGGGAAGCAACTGACTTAGCTGGCTGTACAATGGGAAATGAATTGGCAGGAAGGAACCTGAGTAACGGCTGGGTTGTTCCATCAGGGTTCTTCACCTGGAGCATCTTGACATCATTTATATCAGTAAATGGTCCATAAAGTTTACCACCAGGTGTGCTGATGATTGTTTTAGTGGGTCTAGGCTGTCCTAATGAAGATACATTAGTAGCAACTGGTGCACCAGCAAGAATTATTTGGGATCCAGCAGTCTGCATTGTTGGACCTGGAACTGGAACTAGAATCTGCCCAATTGGTGGAGCTGCAGGTCCCCTGATTTGGAATGTCTGGTTTTGAATTGGTGGAACTAATTTTGGAGTACTTGAGCGTGGATGTTTCATATCCACAGAAGATGGAAACATTTTAACACTGCTACTTTCATTTCGTCCATTTTCAGGTGGTTTCACAGACTTTGGATCTCCAGCGCGTTGTTCTGGTTCATCATGTGTTTCATTCTGATTTGTCTCTACATTGTCATCTGTGAGGTCTATTGTCATCTCACCATTCCCGACACAGCCTGCACCTCCAGATGACTCCTCAACACAACCAAAAATAGATGCATATTTTTCATCCACTGGGCCAGAAAGAGGAATCTTACCAAGTTTGTCAAGAGAAGAAGTTGTTGCACCCTTAAGGATTTTTGGCTTGGATTCATGAACTACATCACCTGCAGCACTCTGGAGTTTGGATTTGTTTTTCTTTTTCATGTGTTCATTTCCTGACAGTTTAGCTTCCTTTTCTGATTTCTTCTTCTTTTTACTTTCCGGAGGGCCTACTACCATTGATATTGAATCACCGGTCTCTGTATTCTGTACTGTAATGTGTTCGATATCAGGAGCATCTGATTCAGCATCTCTGTTACCAGATATGTCATTCAACTTCACCATTTCAGACTTATTCCCATCAATTGTCACATTACTGTTGCCACTGGATTCCATGAATGTTGAACTTGGACGAGAGATGTGGAGGCGATTAAACCCTGAAATACCCATTGGACTTTGTGAAACAGAAGTTGCTGCTGATGAAGTTGGTGCTGAAGGAGGGGCAGATGATGAAGATGGTGGGGCATGGGGTTTCTGGTAAGGCTGAGATAATGCCCCGCTCTTGTCCAGAGCACCATAGGAGGTGTTGTTAAAGACTCTCTTTGAGGCTGAGTCACATGACTGAGCAGAAACAGAATCTCGGGGTTTGTTCAAAGATGCTCGATGTTTCAGATGTGCTGAAGCTGCTAGGAACTTCTTGATATCAGATTCAGATGCTTTTCTCATGACTTTCACCCTTATCGAATACATATGCTCAGGCAGTTTGCCTTTTAGTTCTGGAGGAATGACAGCACACTTGTCAGCTTTTGGCATGATTTCAACGATGAAATCACCAATGACCATCCTACGAGGATCTGGGTACACTCCTCTGCTCAGACACTGAGCTACCCTGCTAAGAATCTGTGGTTTCGCATTATCCCAGTTACAATTGGCCATGAATTCCAACAACTTGATCTCTTCCGGTTCCAACTCTGAAGTATCAGCATCTTTTGGTTTAGGATTTGCTTTCAGGCAAACCATCTGTGTATGCCACTGTACATGGTGGAGATCTGCTGGCAACACTTTTGATGGTTTTCTTTTGGGCACATCTGCTGCTTGAGGCTTAGGCTTGTCTGTGTTCGGGGTAGCAACATCTTTGCTCTGACAGTCAATGGCCACTTTGGCAAGTCTGCGGCCCAGGTCTTGAGGGTTGGGTCCAGGAGTACCTGGCCGGCTACCGCCAGGGGTTATACTGATGCTAGAAGCACCTGACTCACTCTCAGTTTTCTCAATTCGGACAACAGTAGGATCATTCGAGAGGTCCCTGTCTGATCTGTAACAAATGAAAACATTGGTTATTATTTAGGAAACTTCATCTTATCACCTTGCATAGTTAATGAATACACAATGCCATTTATAATGTGGTCAAAAGCAACATATTTTATATTTGGGATTACACTTTCTCAGTAAAGTACATATTTTAGCACTTTTTTAAAAAAAACCCTGAGAAACTGTAATCCCATACATTTTGCACATTTTAGTGAGTATAGTAAAAGCTGCTTTATGCGATGTTGCAATATTTCATTTGGGATAAATACGGTCTCTACATACTAAACCCACATGGGATTCAAACCCAGATTCAATGACTTCAATGCTGAATAATAATAATCTTACGTCATTCAATAGAAAATTCTACATACATTAAAACCTTCCATCTCAAGAATGTGATTTTGACTGAAACACTTAATACATATTTAACATCCATGAATACTAACATTTTCGTTGGAGTGAATGCAGCTGATCGTGCACATGACATCATGTCAGTGTTGTCTTCATCGTCATCGCTGATCTGAACAACCTCCTGGGATATGGAGGGCTGAAATAGACGACACAGTGGGTAAGTGAACGACTGGTCTTCACACTCATTTGAACTGTTGTTTTTTTTAAAATATACTACTCACATTCTGAGTAAGTGAGTGAGTATGGTTTTACGCCGCTTTTAGCAACATCATGACAGGTAACACAAGAAATGGGCTTCACACATTGTAGGTGAGGTGAGGTGAGGTGAGGTGAAATTGGGTTTTACGCTGTGCTTGAGAATATTTCGCTCATATGACGACGTGCATGCGTGTGTATGTGTATGTGCGGCTGCTTGTATTACCCCAGACTTAAGCTGGTTTTATAGTGCTAGCCCACTGAGATACCATACCGCAGTGAGGATAAATACCCCACTCAGACACATTATACTGACTCCGAGCCGACCAGTCCTTGTTGTACCCATTAATGCCGAGCGCCGCTCGGCAGGGACCAACAAGTACCATATTTTAACGTCTTTTGGTATGACGCGGTGGGGATCGAACCCGCGACCTTCCGCTCTCCGGGCGGACACTCTAACCACTACACCACGGAGGTGTTTCAGACATTGTACCCATGTGGGGAATGGAACCTGGGTCTTCGGCGTGACGAGCGCACACTTTAACCACTAGGCTACCCCACCGCCCCTACATTTTGATAGGGATATTCAGATTTTTCACTATTTAAATATCCACTAATTCCGTTACTCGAAAATGTTCTCAAATCTGTCACGATACCTGTGTTCATTGGTTTTATCAAATTGGCAACTGTCCAAGACCTCCATCCACCTTGGGCTCTTCTCCCACATTAAGCTCACATTCCGTGACATAAATGAAATACTGTCCGAAGCGACAGTTAACATTTGTTACATTTCCAAAACCATTAAGGTGATGAACAACACTCAAACAAGGTGAGGTGAGGTGAAATTGGGTTTAACGTCGTGCTTGAGAATATTTCGCTCATATGACGACGTGCATGTGTGTGTATGTGTGGCTGCTTGTACTAGCCCAGACTTAAGCTGGTTTTATAGTGCTAGCCCACTGAGATACCATACTGCAGTGAAGCATGAATACCCCACTCAGACACATTATACTGACTCCGAGCCGACCAGTCCTTGTTGTACCCATTAATGCCGAGGGCCGCTCGGCAGGGACCAACAAGTACCATATTTTAACGTCTTTTGGTATGACGCGGTCGGGGATCGAACCCACGACCTTCCGCTCTCCGGGCAGACGCTCTAACCACTACACCACAGAGGCGGTCCTCAAACAAGGAGAGAAAACAGTTTAAAGTAAATTTCATTCATATTATTCTGCGTTAAAGCATGCATACCTTCCTTTTCATAACCTTAGGTAGTACTGGTCCCTTGGCCTTACTGGTAGGAGAGGTCAATTTGGACACAGCAGCTCGAGATCCAGGGGAAATTTCTTCAGTGTGCTGAAAAATAATTAAGAAAATGAGAAATTGCTTAACAGGAAATTTTAAAAAACAAACAATGGTTTGAGAATTGAATTGATTACAATGTTACATATTGTCGGTTGTTAGCACCATTTCAATAATATCACAGTCCAAGACACCATGATTAGGCTTTATATACTGTACAAATCTTTGGGAATCAAACTAAGAAATTCATTTGAGTGACCACTTTAACTACTGTCCTACCTTTATGCCCCTTAGATCACCTGCCATACAAGAATTTATTCCAGCTTTATTGTATGCTTTATAGACCAAGTGCAAAAAGTTGACTGTGGTAATTCTGTCTGTACAAGGTTGGTTGCTTTGTTGTTTAACGTCACAATCAGTAATATTCTAGCTGTATGGCGGCCTTCTGTAAATAATCGAGTCTGGACTAGACAATCCAGTTATCAACAGCATGAACAACGATCTATGAAATTGGGATACAATGACATGTGTCAACAAAGTCAGTGAGTCTGACCACCCGATCCCGTTAGTTGCCTGTTAAGACAAGCATGGGTTGCTGAAGACCAATTCTAACCCTGGATCTTCTGGGGTAACTGTATAAGGACAACATGAATCTGAATCGATCTTCAGCAACTTATGCTTGTTTCAAGAGGTAACTAAATGGGATTGGGTGGTCAGGCCTGCTGATTTGGTTAATACCTGTCATCGTATCCAAATTTCATGATGTCAATCACTTGACTGCTTGGTCCAAACCCGATTATTTACAGACCGCCGTCATCACTGGATAATTGTCGAGAGTGACGACAACAAAATGCCCCAAACAAACACATTCATCATGGACAGCTGCATGTCAGTTCCTTTAATGTGATAATTTAAATCGCGCAATAAAAACACTGTCATATACCATGATATATGGAACAGAGTTGGTGCTAGATAAGATAGATCCCGAACTTGATACATGTACGTTGCTCTACAATACAACACAAACACATACTACATCTACATGATGGCTGGACTAACATCATTAATTGATGATAATGTTACCATGGTTACAATTTAGAGAGCAGGTATTAAGATTCTCAGTAGCTATGGCATTACCAATTCTTCAAAAAGCTGCAGAACCATTGGCAATGAGAATATCTGCTTTGACCTGCACGAACTTCAGGACTGACCAGGAAGTGATGACACCATCCACCTTCAGCCACCAACTACACCGACGGTCCCCACCACGATCAAAGCCTCAGGTGATTGCCGGCACTACACTTCATCCAGCCACCATAGAACTATCTACGAGAACGAGCTGAACATACCTTCTTTCTGGATCTACCACTCTGTTCACAATACACTTCACTTGTCTCATACACCATCAATGCCTTGCGGGTTATTGCATCAAGGTTCTTTGACATCCGATGTCGCGATTCCCTCTTCGGCAGATTGGAATATTTATCACCTTTTGGGTGCCGCGACCATGTCTTGGACACAGCAGGTTTGTCCTCCTTGGCTTTCTGGTTGTCAAACTTAGCACCTTCAGCAGAAACATCAGAGTCTTGGATAAGTGGAGGAATCTCATCAGAGCTGTTAGCGCCATCATCAGGAACACCTGAAGAGGCAGCGCCATTGGGTGACCTTCTCTCCGTTCTGGAGCACACACATTCTATCATGCATTCTGGCTTGCCACAGTGGAAGGGGATGTTTGCTTCTTGGTTGGAAACAAGGCTGTCACATATACATCCGAGGCGGCAGTACTCCTTGTTACAGGTGTGGGACTCCTGGGACCTCGGTTCCAGGTCCTCCTGATTGTCATTGCACAGGTGACAGATACAACCATACCTGCAGCCTGCGATATACAACACGAATTAAAATAATGGTACTGAGGATGTGAAGGTACCAAGTCATCAATTATCATCATATCATGAAATATTCATAAAAAATATTCATGGGTGCATTTTTCATTTTCACACATTATATTTCCGCCTGTCCACAAAAACGATCTACCCCAAAGCTGCCACCTGCCCATCGATGTACAAAGAAATACGAAAAAACCCTTCCTGAAATTTACCAAGTTCATGTTAATCAAGAACTCTGAACAGGAGATGTTCTCATAGTATGATTGGAAATCTTTCGAGTTTATGGCAGCATTGGTAATGTAAATCAAGAACATAAAATTTTATTTTATCAACATGTTAAGATATTATCAAAGATCTTTTCATGTGCCTGAACAGGCAAGACACCATTATTGGAGAATTGGTACACATATTTAAAAGATTTAGAATAATTAAATGTGATTTCTTGGTGATCTATTTAAGGACACAGTAGAGTGCAAGAAAAATACAAGACATGCATTTTACTTTATAGAGAAATAGTTTGTATACTGCTGGTGCCTTTCATTATTATGTGTACATATATGCAAATGAAAACTGCTTCAGTTTCTAATCGAAGGGTTTAGGTCTTTTCCTCCATTGGTGAAAGATGCCATCAGCCTCTGAAATTGTTTACATGTATATTTCCTTAAAGATATTTGGGAGAATGAGGACAGCCAATCTACAGAGGTTTGTGGGATAAAAAACAAACAACAACAAAACAGTTTGACCACAAAGTACAGTTACATGGTCCAAAACGAACCCGTTTCACATACATACACTACTGACCTTGAGCGTGACCTTGACCTTGGAATGATATTAATGAATAATAAGAAGAAAAAATTACTGCAAGATTGCAAGTTTTTAACTCAGTTATTTGAAAGTAACCAAGATTTTTTCATTTCACTGAAATTAAGTCACAAACATTCCCATGGAATTTAACTGAAAGAAAGCATTGTATCCAACTTAATCCATTTCTGTATCTTATTATCATACATTCATACCAGTCAAAGTGACCTACTTTTGGTCAAATCATGTTATAACTAGTTTATAACAGAACTACTCATAATGAATAACACTACTTATGACTGAAGTCTACTGGATATGTGTATACTAACCAGGCTTATCACAGGGTATTTTCGGGTCTCTGCTTCCATCAATGACAATACCATCCTCATCCCTACTGTCAAGATTGTCCAAAGAAACATCTGCAGTTCCATCTCCTTCAGAATTCACCCTCCTCACATACTCTGTAGGAACACCTGACTTCAACATTGGTCGCTTTTTGTCTCTTTGAGCTCTGAACAAGGTGCTGCCTTTGTTGTGCAACTTCATCCCAGTATGGGGATTTGGTTGCACAGTTTGAAGCACCATATGTTTGGTATTGATATTGTCTGCACATCTTGTTCCTGTTTGTGTTGGTTTGTATACTCCAAAGTCTAATGCACAAGTAGCATCAATGGCCATTTGTTCGGTAATGACGGCCACAGGAATGTATTCTGACCTTTTGACTTTCATCTTCAGTCTGAATTTCTTTCCCATCTCTGGAGACTCTGAGTCTCGCAGGAGAGAGGTCATATCTCTGGGGTCATTCTTTTTCCTCCTGTTTCTCACCCGTCCACCAAGATTCTTCATAATCTTCATTTCCTCCTCACCCCAGCTAAACAATTCTGCAAACTCATTCCTGACCTGAGTCCTCTTGGCATACCCAAAAGGTCTGTCTCTAACACTTGAGTCCATCTCAATGACACTAACACTTTCCTCACTATGTCCATAACTCCAGTTAATTCTCCTCATCTCCTCATCAGTATGATCAGAACCTTCTCCATAGTCCCCATACAATGGTTCCTCATACTCTTCCATCATCATGTCCCAATTGTCACCAATCTCTTCTGGACTGCCAGATTGTCCATAGATGCTAGTTCGGCCTGATGGATACCCAATGTCCTTCGAGGTTCCTTTCCTATGAGTGAACACAATGTTCTTCCTCCGTTTCTTCTTAATGCCCAATGCCTTGATATCATCTGGCTCCAGATTTCTCAAGAGTCTTTCCTCGGTTCTCCAGTGAAGTTTACCAGCATCACCTTCCATGTCAACAAATTTATTTCTCCATCCTTTGATCTTTGTGATGTCTGATGTTTTCTCTGGATGCCGGAAACCAGAGTAAGGATCTCCTCTTTCTCTTGTCAACTGCAGATTATCAAACTCTTCTTTCAACATCCTCTTATATTTCTTCCATTTCATGTGTTGTCCTCTAAGGTTCAGTGAACTGGGAGTCTTAGCTTTACCTTGTTCTGGACTGTCTCCTTCCTGTTTTTCTTTCTCAAAAGACAACAAACGTGAAACACCAAGCAAATGGTTAGCATCCTTGTCCCAATGATTCTTCTTCTCCACAGCAATATGAGCATCCATAATATCCTTAGATGCAAATGACACAAACAATACACCCTCAACTTCATCAAAATCTGGTTCAATATCCCTAACCTCAAAACTATAATCTACACTTTCTGGAGATGCATTATGCTCTTCTCTATCAAAAGACTGGTCACATTTGAAGTTCAATTTCTTAACATCTTCTAAATAGTTTTCTAGTTCATCACTAACAAATGCAGATTTCTTATTTAAATTGCAGTCTTTCTCAGCTTTTGCTAAAATTTCCAGTGGTAAAGGTTCCTTAGTTCGATACAGTTTTCTCCACAGTGGAATCCTTTTACCTTCAACAGTTTCTTCAGATTTTGAACCTTTGTCTGAAGAGTCAGGAGGAGCAGGATCACATTGCACAGACTGTTGCTCACCTTCTGGTTCATGTTTGACACACACCTCCTCGATCACCGATTTCACAGGTGACAAAAGATGTTTTTTGAGAAGACAACCTTCACTTTTATCTAAAACCAGGATATTATCCTTAACTACATCTTTTACACTCTCAGATGGAGGTTTCACTGGACTAGACTGAGTTTGCCTTTGAGACGTACTCAGTAATATTGGATCTGCCACTTTACCTGTAAGTCTGCGATACAATTCGCCACATTTTACATCCGGAGGAACCGTGTCATTTTCTACATCACTCTTCCTGTCCGACTGTATTTTAGAATCAACTCCTTGTGGTACAGAGCTGGAGGTCTCTGCTTCCATCTGATCCACAAGATGCGACAGAGTGTCAGAATTGTGGCTTGTGTTTAAAGAAGACACATCTGAACATTCCTCCTCTTCCATACACTGAGTTGATTCTAGAGGCACAAACAAGGCCGTCTTTATTCGATTATCAACTTTAGTAATGAGATCCAGCAATCCTTTGCTCCTTACACCTACATCCTCAGTAACAGAATTACCACTGGGCTCATTTAATGTACTGGTACTGGGTTTGGGAGAACTTGATGTTATGGGAAGAGCATTTACTGCAGTTGGAGATGACCCTGATATAACTGGACTATCGTCTTCTGTTTCAGCTATGTTTTTCACTATTTGCTCTTTACACAGTTCTACAAAGTCCAACTGTCTAATCACCCCAGATTTGCTCTCACTATCTTTACCTTTATTTGTCTCTTCACAAAGCTGACCTTTAAGGGTTAGCATAAACTCATTTGGTGATGTTTTGGAAGAAACCTTGCCCTTCTTTACGAGGGGCATATATACAACATTATCGTCCTGAAGTTTAACACTAGGGGATCGGATCCTTCTCTCCCCTCTAGGAGATGCTGATCCACTTCTCCTCTTGTCAGGAACATCATTAGCCTTCTTAATAGTCCTTGGACTCCTGGCAGGGCTGTTAGACTTCCTTCTTGGTTCTGCATCTGGCTTATCAGGACTATCACCTTTTAATGAGTTTCTCCTTGGAGACTTTTTTCTTGGTGATAGTCCTGACTTTTCAGATTTCCTTTTCTGTCCATCAACCTTTTCAGAAACAGACCTTAGCACTTTCATTGCAGAGGAAATTGCAGTGCTTGCAACCTCCTGACCTGGACCCTTCTTGTTTGGGGACAATTTCTTTGACCTGGACCCTTTTTCCTTGATCTCATTCTGAAATTGTTCAAAAATGTTCTTTGCTTTGCGATCACCTTTTGGACTTTTCCTCCTAGGACTTTTTGGCCTCTCACTAGATCGTTTTGTTGACTGATGACTATTTGACCTTCTGATACAGTGAGGTGGAGTTTCTTTCATTGTTAGTCCTTCGTTACCTTCTGCAGGATCAGGACCTTTGTATATATCCTTAATGCATACAAGAGCTACTGGCAAGGTCTCTGACTTTGGAAGCGTGATAACTGCTTCATGAATGCTTGGAAACACAGACACAGATTCCACATCAGGAGTTGATGAGGAAGATGGCTGATCGTTGTCTCGGTATAGCTCAACTTCTTCGGAGCTAGAGTACCTGCGATGGACAAACGGCCACATTTTAAAATTCAGTTTACAATATGCCCAACTCTGTTACATATGGAAGGTGATTCAGTGGTTTGGATGTTTGGGGATACAGTATTTCAATCTAAGGAATTCCAAGTCTATACTCTCTGACATAAAAGGTATGACCTTGACACGTAATTTTGAACAGTGAAAAAACATTGCTCCTTACAAATGTGACTTATTTTCTGAAATGTCTTAAATCTATCATATATATACATTAGTCTTTACTTAAGTGTTCATTGTAGATGTAACTTCAGATAATTATGTACACTAGATCACTAAATATAGCATAATGTTTCATCGTGTCAAACATGCTCTCAAATGTTCATTATGGTGATACTTACAAGGGGGGAATGATTTTCTTGCAGTCAAGAACGACTTTTTTGCACTTCCTTTTGAAGGAGATCTTATACTCTTTCTGGCTTTCAGTTTAGGATACACTGGGGGATACAGGCCAGATTTCCTTTCATACAACTTATGGAGGGGTAGGGCTTTCTGGTTTGGATTCAAATGAACAGGCCTTCCAACAGCTTCAGGAGACACCTGGATCAGATGAGCATTGGGTATGTCAAGGGTAGGATTAGGCCGTGCTCCTGTCTCTTTCCTGGTCAGAGACTGTAGAAGTTCTTGTGCCTCTGCTTTCTTCAAAGCATTGGTAGACTTTCTGGCAGTGAACTTGGTCTTCTTCATGTTCACTGGGCCTGAAATGGGTGTTGGCATATAACCGTCCTCCTTTTCAGCATCCAGATTCACCATCACAGGTGGATCCAGATACTCTTCTTTCTTATTTTTCTTGTCCAAAGCAGTTGATCTGTCTGTTGTTTCCTCCTTTGCCTGTACATCTTCAGACAATTTGTTCTTCTTCTGAGGTGCCAAAATGATCTTCTTGTACAAGCTTCCATCAGTGTTACCCTTCACATCTTCAGCTTCCTTCCCGCCCAACTGCTCCACCAAAGGTTTCAGTTTTCTTGGACTGGGTGTCTTTATTGGCCTCCCAGGAGGCCTAACCTGAGGGTCAACATGCTTTGTCACCCCTGTACCAGAAGAGGAGGCAGTTGACGTCTCTGGTTTCACAGGCCTTCCCTTCCGGGCAGGGTTCTGTCCTGCTTGTTCCGCCTGTCTTGCTGCTCTCTGCTCTGCTTCTAGAAGAAGCTGCTGTTTTCTGGCTGTTGCTTGTAGAACTTGTTTTTTGGTTCTAGCCATATCATGGAAAATCTGAGTTAAGAAAAAGACATACATCAAACAAAACGTCCCCAGCCATTGACAAGATTAACATTGACATTGACATTATTTGTGAAGTTTGGGGCATATGACCACTATTCCTGGAATCACACTTGGGGACACGAAGACTTTGTCACACACATTGTTTCTAACTGAACCTAGGTCTTAAGGGCAGGGTGAATGCTTTAACCATGAAGCTACCTCACAGCCCTATTTAGTGACTGTGAAATAACCTGGATCTGGCTAGTGAGTCCATGAAGCAAGCAAACCAGTTGCTTACTGTAATCCAAACTTTCATTTTGTATTGTATGTTAAGGCTGGATCAAAAAAGGTGCTTAGGTCGTAGGTGCTGGCCTTTATATATGAGTGAGTGAGTGAGTGTGATGAGTGAGTTTAGTTTTACGCCGCTTTCAGCAATATTCCAGCTATATGGCGGCGGTCTGTAAATAATTGAGTCTGGACCAGACAATCCAGTGATCAACAGCATGAGCATTGATCTGCGCAATTGGGAACCGATGGCATGTGTCAACCAAGCCAGTGAGCCTGGCCACCCGATCCCGTTAGTCGCCTCTTACGACCAGCATGTGTTGCTGAAGGTTCATTCTAACCCTGACCTTCATGGGTAATGAATACATCACTTGCAGCAACATTGCAGCAAGATCATGGGGTTTTGAAACCATATTGACAGTATAAACTTGAACTTTAATGAAAGCAGAACCAATATATATTATTCTCCAATTTATTCCTTTCAACAAATACCCTTAAACACTCAAAGGAAAGCCATTCTTGCTGCTCTGCAACATGACACCAAACAGCAAAATGTTTCTAATTAATTCTACATTTCTGAACACGAACAGGAGGAGAATCAATACATTTCAATGTTAACAACATGAAACAGGATCTTGTACAGTTCAATCCCTGACATTAATTGGCAGGGTAGTTATTCAATACTGGATGAACATGAACACTGCACCTGAGACGTACATAATACTTACATCAGTTACAGTGATTTAACTTGGTAGGAAAAGAAGGAGGTTTGCAGTCATTCTTTGTACATATCCACACACTGCCATTGTCAAGAATCTGTAACAGAAGTGGGAATAATACTGTCCAAGATATTGATTTGACCATTTCACTTTTGTGCTTCATTGCATGTGATCTGCACCCCTAAATGAGTCTAGTTTAATTTTTTTTCTTTTAGCAACCGGTTGTTGGAAAAAAATATAAGTGACAGTACATTTAATTAACATATATTAAACTGTGGAGTGGTGAATATTTTTTTTTCATGTTTGTTATATACTAGGGGGTGGTGGGGTAGCGTCATGGTAAAAATGTTCGCTTGTCACGCCTAAGGCCTGGGTTCGAATCCCCACATGGGTACAGAAATGTGGCCCATTTCTGGTGTCCCCTGCCTTGATATTGCTGGAATATTGCTAAAACCACTCACGGTTATATACTAGCTATGGAAGTTGTGGAATAAGTTGTAAGGAAAGCAGAATCTTGAATTACACAAACATTTACTAAGGTGTCCGGATTTCCTGTCAGTGATCAACAGCATGAGCATCGATCTATTGGGATATGATGACATGTGTCAACCAAGTCAGCGAGCCTGACCACCCGATCCCGTTAGTTGCCTTTTATGACAAGCATGGGTTGCTGAAGACCGATTAAAACCCAGATCTTCAAGGGTGGTATCAGATTGTTGGATTTGGTGACTCAGTTGATTCATGTCAACGTATCCCCCCAATTATCTTTATTGGTGTTACTATCATGTGGACAGGGGGTGAGCTATTGAACTTCTGTTCTTTGTGCAGACAGCGGCAGCCCTAAATACAAGTGAGTGAATATGGTTTTAAGCTGCTTTTAGCAATATTTGAGCAATATCATGGCAGGGGAGGAATTGAACCATACCCATCTGGGGAATCGAACCCGGGTCTTCGGTGTGACGAGCGAACACTTTAACCACTAGGCTACCCCACTGTAGTGCCCCATTACCTGCTTTACTTTTAATTAAAGGTAGATTTTTTATTACTAATAACTGGTTTGTTCCAACCAGCCAATCACTGACTTTACTGAAGGTAATCAGATCTGAAATGCTCTGTGTGTTTCAGCATTTGTGTAAAAAGTGTTATTAACACAGTCTGAACATTTTTGAAATCCCTATTATACCACTCAATTAGTCAATTGGTTGCAGTTGGAAGATGAATGTGTTTAGGTGTTATTATCTGCAGGTCGAAGGAATGGTTGCCATTTTGAAATATTTGGCTAAAACTATTTTAGTGCGACTATACAATGAGTGAATGAGTGAGTGAGTGAGTGAGTAATAATATTCAGCCTTCCAAACCTATGCTACTCCACTAGCTCTAAACCAGTGCTGAGGACAAGGAAAGTTCCAATAATACGTCCTCACATACAAGAGTGAGTGAGTGAGTTTAGTTTTACACCGCTTTTAGCAATATTCTAGCAATATCACGGCAGGGGACACCAGAAATGGGCATCACATATTATATCTACGTGGGGAATCGTACATCGTAAACAAACACATTTACAAATTTTGTACACTAACTTTGCTTTGTAATAAGTGACATTGAACTTTGAATAAGCACAACTTGTTTAGAGTAACCTGAGTGTGACGGACCCGTATCCCAGTGCAATTACAGCACTACGATTATTGCATGTGTGCACTGAAGCATGGGAGTTACGTTAATTGGAGTGTTATGATCACTTTGTGGAACGGGGGCTGAGGATCACAATATGTTTCCTTTCAAACAGACAATGATATATAATTTAAGTTGCAATGACCTCAATGGTGACCTTGACAGATCTTGACCAGAACATATCAAAAGTAGGTTCAGAAAACATATTTACCTAAATCCAGTGATTAGGAATAAACCCATAGTAACTACAAACTATGTTTCAACAAAAAATGTTTTACTAACAAAACCAGAAGCAGCCCTGTCAATGGACATGAGGGTTTGCTGTTAAACACTACACGTAGCAATATTACAGCTGTATGACGTTGGCTAGACTAAGGCTTAGTCTCTGAATATATATAATTTTGATAGTAACAAACAAGCCCATTTATATTGAAATGGAGCCCTAGGGAGACCAGAGATTCAGAACCTGAGGAAATCTAGACTTGCTTTATTTAGGGCTTTAGCACTGCAGAGAGGGCTTGGCAGTAGGGAAATTAATGTGGTTCAGGGACTGTGAGACAGACTAGACGTTGGCCTGTAACGTTAGATGTGGTAGGATATGCAAATCTATTCTATGCCTCAGTAACTGCCAACGATATAGCCATTGAACAAAATAATGACCTTGACCTTTGACTTCTTTTGACCTTTATCCATTTAAAGGTTATATACAAAGTTTAATGTTACCTTCATGATACTTTGAGTGTAACCATGTGAGTGAGTGAGTGAGTGAGTGAGTGAGTGAGTGAGTGAGAGTGATATTCATGGTAATATTTACAGACTTTGGCAAAGTTTTGGTTATACTTGCAAGAATGTCCTTGGTTATCTCTTATATAACACAAATGAGACATAGACTTTATAGTGAGTGAGTGAGTATGGTTTTACTGTAAAAATGATTTGGTTCCCCCATAGTAGAAGTTCCATTGGAACTTTTCATTCCAGTATTTGTTCCTGTAATAGTGCATGCGGAACAATTATTTCGTTCCGCACAAACAGAATTTATTCCGGGTAAATAGGAACTTTCACACACATCCTAAAGTGTCTAAAAGAGGGTTTTGTTTGTTGGGGTGGTCTTAAAAAATTGGTTGTTTTTTTGTTGTTGTTGTTGTTGGTTTGTTTTTGGTTTGTTTGTTGTTGTTGTTTTGTTGTTTGTTTGTTGTTGTTGTTTTTTGGGGTGGGGAAAGGAAGAAAGGATTCAATCCTTCGGTATTTGTTCCATGTGGAACAAATCTTGTGGCTATCAAGCAGCATTTATCATGTGTGAAAGTTCCTTATAAAAGGACTCAATATAGTATTGTCGTCAGTGGCACCATTTGTCTTTTTTTGTGGGAATTGGTTTCATCTTTTGTTATGGCTATACAAAATAGCACTAAATTGCCTAAACTGCCATTAGATATGGTTCACCTTTCTTTAAAAATCTGTGCATCTATTTCAAATTATTATTTCAAGGATGTATGTATAATATCTACATATGTCGGGTGATAAGGGTCCTGATCGAAATCCGGACAATACTGAAGAATTGTTCAAATATCGTTGTATTTTAATTTGATCTACAGTTTTGGTAAACGTACAGTGATCAATATGGAAAATTCTGATGGTTGCTAATTTTCTGGTCACTAGTTATCACAAGCTTCAAAGGAGCAGACTTATCCTTGATCTCGTCCGATACATAGTACAAAGAGCAGTGTTTTCCTCTGCCTCCATAATCGGTCTGATCGATCTCTGATGTATTTATAAGTATGACATATATATATAACATATCTTATATGTTATATATATAGGTCATACTTATAAATACATCAGAGTCAGGCGCCTATGTATTGCACCGCCTTGCTGTGTGTGGCAAATGGCCGCTCGTTGATTTGATTTTCACCTAGATCTAACATGATTCACGTGTATTTCGGGCTTGAGAAATCCCGGATGTTTTGCATTCAATAATGACTGGAATAGGTTAGGCCTACGGTATTTGTTCCTGTTCGATGGAATATTTGCCGTATGTGCGGAATTTATATTCGTGTCATCCATTCTCTATTTCACGGCATTTATTCCGAACCGGAACATTTACTACTCGGAACTAAATCATGTTTACATTACACCACTTTTAGCAATATTCCAGCAATATCACAACAGGGGACACCTGAAATGGGCTTCACACATTGTACCCATGTGGGGAATCGAACCCGGGCCTCCAGCGTGACAAGCAAATGCTTTAACCATTAGGCTACCCCACCGCCCCCTCATCGATTTTATAATATACTAGAGGAGCAATGTAGTGGTGGTTGAGTTGGTATACGACTAGTGTTGGGAATCAGAAACCAAATCTACTATCGATTATCGGAGGACTTGTGGTGAACGATTATCGATTTTAATTGAAATATATACATTTTTAATGAAATCACCAGTTTGAAGGGTTTTTCCCCAGGTTTTTCTTATGACTAATACTGTCATGCAATGAAATGCATGCATGCAAAAAAGACACTGGAATTGTAATTAAACTATAAAAGTAGTTAAAATTTTACAATGCGCACAGCTTTACGCTGTTGAGCGCATGTTTGTTCGTGAATATTCGTCAAATTTAATCGCTAGTTTACTTCATTCAAGTGTGTTTAACTAAAACAACAAAAATCCAATTAATCGAAAATATGAATCAGAAACCTGAATAAAAACTTATGACATGAACTTCCAAACTCTTGGATGTCTTATTAGTTCTAAATATTGAATTGTTCATAAATTTCACAGATCTAAGATAGAATATTGTCAGGCAGACACACACAGGCTAAAGGGGACTATGAATGTTATGCTATTTATAGCCAACTGAAATCTCCATGGGGGTTGTTGAACAGTTTCGATTGACATTTAAAATCTGTTAACATTCACGTATTTACATCAACACCTAATGTATCCAATGTATCATAGTGCAGGGTATGAAAAACTCCCAAAAATTTCTGCCAGACCACAGGGCTGGTCAGATGTAAAATATGCCAGTCCTGACCAAAGTTACCTGCTCGCAAATAATTTAGGTTTGACAAGCGACGTAGTTCATCATCCAATTGGAATTTATCATTTATTTTTACGAGTGAATTAATAATGATTTATTATCCTGAAATATTAGGAATATCTTCATATACATGTCTAAATTTAAACCCGACTGTCGGGCAGGTGAATTTGAGAATCCGGCAGTCCGTGTTGAAAATAACCGTCCTGGGCAGTCGGGCATGCAGGTATTTAGAATGCTGGATAGTGGGGTTGTAAGGTAATGAATTGTATTACAGGGCTTGTATAGGCGTACAATGTTGCACTGCAGTATCATTGCAGCACTATCACATACAGTGAGTGAGTGAGTGAGTTTAGTTTTACGCCGCACTTAGCATATATTCCAGCTATATGGCGGCGGTCTGTAAATAATCTAGTCTGGACCAGACAATCCAGTGATCAACTATCACATACAGGCTAAGGCCAGTTGTATATGAAATATCATACAGATCATGATAGATGAAGGACACCATGAATAAAGTGGAACTGCTGTTTTACTGTAAACAAGTGAGTGAGTGAGTGAGTTCAGTATTATGCAGCACTATTCAAGCTATATGGTGGCGGTCTGTAAATAATCGAGTCTTGACCAGACAATCCAGTGATCAACAGCATGAGCATCGACCTATGCAATTGGGAATTTGATGACATGTGTCAACCAAGTCAGCAAGCCTGACCACCTGATTCCATTAGTAGCCTCTTATGACAAGCATGGTTTACTGAAGATCATTTCTAACCCGGGTCTTCATGGGTTTAACTGTAAATTAATTGACATACTTACATCACTTTTCAAGGACTGACTTGCGGTTACTAATCATGTTACAAGGACACACACCTTGCTCTTGGAACCTGAAAATAAAATAGGACCAATGACATATACCAGGTTTTTACCTTGACCAACAAATTAAGGGGTCAACGGGACCCCTACTTACAAATTTCAGGGGTCCGTGCATGAAATACGAGGGTCCTGTAAAGCTGAGGTGAGGTGAAATTGGGTTTAACGTCATCCTTGAGAATATTTCGCTCACGTGCATGCGTGTGTATGTGTATGTGCGGCTGTATGTGCGGCTGCTTGTACTAGCCCAGACACATTACACTGACTCCGAGCCGACCAGTCCTTGTTGTACCCATTAATGCAGAGTGCCAGGCAGGGACCAACAAGTGCCATATTTTAACGTCTTTTGGTATGACGAAGTTGGGGATCGAACCCGCGACCTTCCGCTCCGTGGGCGGACGCTCTAGCCACTACACCACGGTGGCGGTCTCCGGTAAAGTGATGAAATGATGTCGCAGACTGTACTGTAAGGTTTAATGATTACTTTAGTTAATGGACTGACTGACTGAGTTTGGTTTTACGCCGCTTTTAGCAATATTCCAGCAACATCACGGTGAAAAACGCGGGGGACACCAGAAATGGGCTTCACACATTGTACCCATGTGGGGATTCGAACCCGGGTCTTCGGTGTGACACCAAATCCTTTAACTATAGGCTAGCCAACCATTACATTGTATCTCCATCACTGCATACTGTAAGTCATGAAATACGAGTAAGATCAATCAGTTGTTGTCTGAATACGCAAAGATATGACACACACTAAGCTGTGACCACCAAACGAAATTAGTTGGCTGTTGTGTTCTCCAGTTGTGTGCTGGGACCTACATCGAGTGTGGTAAACAAAGAGCGAGTGAGTGAGTGAGCAAATCACTTCTGGCAATATTGCAGCAAAATCATGGCAAGAGACATCATGTGGCTTGAAACATGAGGACCTTATATGTAACATATAGGCCTGATACATTTAGCACAGTCTGTTAGGGGTGATCAGCCAAGACTGTGAGTGAGTGAGTGAGTTTAGTTTTACGCCGCTTTTAGCTATATTCCAGCAATATCACGGCGGGGGACACCAGAAATGGGCTTCACACATTGTACCCATGTGGGGAATCGAACCCAGGTCTTCGGCGTGATGAGCGAACGCTTTAACCACAAGGCTACCCCACCATGAATGCCAAGACTATGAAACCAGTGTGCTGTAAATAAGTGAGTGAGTGAGTGAGTGAGTGAGTTCGGGTTTGATGTCACTCTCAAGAGTATTTATATGATATCATGACATGTCTGCTTATTTCAGGACAAAAGACGGAAGTGATGCGAGTGTTAGATGTTGAACACTTGTGTGACAGTGACTAGCATGTTACCGTGCTGACAAGTCAAGAAACACTATCCATGAGAGCAGCAACTGGATTGGTTGGTTGGTTGGTTGCGTAATGACACATTCAGCAATATTCCAGCTAAACGACAGCAATCTGTAAATAATAGAGTCTGGACCAGACAATCCAGTGATCAACATGAGCATAGATCTACGCAATACGATGACATGTGTCAACCAACTCAGCGAGCCTGACCACCGAATCCTGTAAGTCGCCTCTTACGACAAGCATGGGTTACTGAAGGCCAATTCTAACCCGGATCTTCACGGGTTAGATGAATAGGAGATCCACGCCCCTATAAAGTCAGTTAGTGAATGAGCGAGCGTGTTTTTCTTCCAGAATCTTAATCCAGGAAGGTTAATAATACCATATCTAGTACACACACAGAGAGTTACTTATTTCCTTGTTTCCATCAACAGCAAAGTTACAGCTTAGAATTATGTTACATAAAACCAACATGACAAATATTTTGTCACCATTGATTATTCCTTCTCGCATGATAAATAACCACTTACAATTCTAATTACCAGACAAAAATCATCCTTATATTCTCATTTCATTTCAACTGGATTTCCTTTAAGAAAGTCATTTAAAAACAGTGAAAATATCAGAACTCATTTCACAATATTTAAACTGCAAAGTATACTCAACTGAATAACAAACACTCCTTGTGCCTAGTTTTTTATTTATAGCATTACTCTAAAATTAGAATTTGTGTTCATGTTTTTAAGTAATGACTTAACTAAAACTCATTTTCAACAAATATTTTGGTGCACTGAACAGTAATTCTAGCTCGACAATGTGTGATACTCGATTCTGATTGGCTGAGACCTCATCGAAATCGTACTTAAATGACAGTTTAAGGACCGCTAATTAAAGTGACCGATTCACCGCATATGAATACATCGAACCCGTTGACCCTATTGTTTGTAAACAAACATGTCTGACATCGGAGACTTCTTTGATGTTTTTGAACTGAAAAGCGAATGGTTCGACAAAGAATTTCAGGAGCCTAATGCAAATGAAGAAACTTTGAAGCTGGAAAATTCTACAGGTAGAGATATTCGTTTCACATTTCTTAAATTGAAAAGTCAGCAGGCGTCAATTCGAACGCTAGGTGTATGTCTATTCGTATAAAAAGGAAAGAAAGAAAATGGACTGAAAATATTCCTCAATTTATCTCTTGTATTGTACGAAATGTTTCCTAGCATAAATAATCAATTATTACGAAATTCAACGGCAGTTTAATTTATTCATAAGTAAATATTTCACTCAAATTTACCATTTTACTGTTTTAGATATCAAAAATGAACCTGCTACCAAGCGTTCAAAACAGTGACCGACAATGATCTGGAACATATTGTTTTGGATTCGAGGAGCGAAACCACCCTTCAAACAACTGCGTGGGGAGTAAAAATCTTGAAACGTAAGAGCAAAGACAATCTTTTAAATCAACAAAATTATCAAGATTTGGCCTAACATATCCTATGATAAACGAGGGTGATGTAAATCATCTTGAACATGTTAAATAAAGTTGTTACTTACCTTTTAACAAAATATTAAAACATTGAAGCTCACATAAAATAATATTTTTATATTAAAATATATTTCCAGAGTGGCTACAATTTCACGAACTCTCTCCCGAGTTTGAGACACTTCCAGTTGATGAAATGAACGCTCTGCTGAAGCGATTCTATGCTGAAGTCCGAACTTCCGACGGGAATTATTATGCCAAGTCATCGTATGTGGGGATCCGAGCACTGACACCTTAGACAGCCACCATTTAACATGAACATTAACATTCTTCAAGACAAAGAATTTCACTCGGCCAACGCCGTTTTTGCAGCAATGTTAAAAAAACCAAGCATTGTCACTAAGGTGACATAATCCCCGCCGCAAATTATCAAATGAAACTCATAAAGTAATGAAAGTTTAAGTTAAATGTCAACAAAAACATGACCAGTCAACCTCTCTTGATATCTTGCTCTTTAGGTGTTCAAACACACACATATTTTCAAAACTGACTTTGACCTTGACATGAATGTCATAGTGTATGAAATATGCAAAAATAGTACTAAAGAAATTGCTTATTGAAAAACATTTAAGGGAAGTCTTGAAACATAGAGATTTTTTCTGGGTTACATCTTCTTTTTATTCTAAAATGCCAATCAAGCATCTAAGTCTTGAAAGTCTGAAGAAAATCCAGTGAACCGTTCTTGAAATATCTTGCTGACAATTCAGGTTAACATGCTGAAATCTTCAAAGTGTCGCTGTGACCTTGAAAATTAAGTGAAGGTCACCAAAATTGACTGGGCCCTGCACCTTCCCTAGATAAAGCTTGGTTTCAAATATGAAGACAATCCAGTGAACGGTTCTTGAGATAGCTTAACATGCAGATTTACATGCTGAAATCTTCAGTGTCACCATGACCTTGAAAATTATGTGAAGGTCAACAAAATCGACTGGGCCCTGCGCCTTCCCTAGATAAAGCTTGGTATTGAATATGAGGAAATTCCCGTGAACGATTCTTGAGACAGCTTAACATGCAGGTAAAACGTGAAATGAAGGTCAAGGTCAACAAACCTGACTTGGACCTTTCTTATACTGTGATGAACCTAGGTACCAAATATGAAAGAATCTAGAGAACAGTTCTTAAGATATTCCAATTCGTATGGTAATGTACGTACGTGTACGTACGTACGTACGGAGCCTAATACTATATCCTAATATATAATAAAGCAGTTAGGTCTTGATAATCCAGCACATCACAATGCCATTTCAGATGGTGATTTAGCTAAAATTAGAAACCAACAAAATTTGGAAAACCCTGTAGACCTTCAAAACAAAGTGTGGTTTGATTTGACCCTAGGGTTTGGACGAAGGGGCTGTGAGAATCAGAGGGAGTTGTCTGTTCATTCCTTTGTTGTCGAAACAGACGATGTTGGCTGTGAATTCATATCCATGACACATAGCGAATCCACGAAAAATCATCCTGGGGGCGTCGGCGATTCTGAGTACACAAAGCCACGCATATATGCGACAGGAACTCCCCTCTGTCCTGTTGCATCCTTTCGAAAGTACATGTCCAAGTTAAATCCAGAAAATGAAGCCCTCTTTCAGCAGCCTCGTAAGAATGTGTGTGAGAATGATGAAGTTTGGCACACAAGTAAGCCCCTCGGTCACAACACACTGAAAACGATCATGAAACGGATCTCGGCCAGTTGCGAGTTGAGCTAACGCGTTCGTTTTTTAAATTACATTTAGCGGTCTTAAATCAACGATAAAGGACCGCAAAATTGAAAACAGAGTAGCTTTATCTTCTAAATGTTTGGAAACATTTCCAAGTTATTCATCAATACTTGGAGGCCACTTGTTAAGGCTGGTGTAAAATCAGCAATGGATGTTAAGCTGTCCTCAGTTTTTGCTGTGTTACCAATCTCATGCCAAGACTGATTTTTCATTCTGACATGAAATAATAAAATGTTTTCTTATCTCAATTTTCCATGCCGCTGAGAAAAATGCCCTGATGTGAGACTAATCATTCTCTTACTCTTCTCGCATGCTGACAACAAACCAGGTCAGCTTGACCTTTCATAATCTATATTCATAAAAACTTAAACATTAAATATTAATTCAAACACTATTAC